ACTACTTTGCTTTTTTCACATTTCAAGATAGAAAATCCAGAGTTCAAACTTAAATTTGTTGTGAGCTCTTCGGTGAATTAGTAAAAATGTCGTTGCTGCAGCTTGTCATCAGAAACTTTAACCTGGCTTTCTAGATGGTAGTATAGATTCTAGATCTAGCTACATTCAGGCACAGAGAGTCTGTATACATGCTTCTTCTTTTATGCGTCTCTGGTTTTCAGAGATGACCTGCACTTGAGCTTCACTGAAGCTTTTATAGCCTCCTCAGCATTAGAAGCGATTTAAGCAGTTATACTCAGAGGGTAGAAATCAAAGCAGCAGCCCCTCCTTGTACCCCAGCAATTTTGCCAAGAGAAAAACTTGCAGATGGGGAATGTAAATGACCCAATTTATGCACTCTAGCCAGATTCTCGGGATATAGTCAGTGTCTCTATGTTGGATAGGTAGGTAAGATGAGTGAGAGATGATGGTATTATGGGTATTGAAATTATTTTATGCAGCACTGGGAATGATTTCTACTTTGTAGATATTGTGTAGAATTGAGAATTGTTGTTCTAAAGTCGTTGAGACTTCTGATGTTCAGCCTTTAGGGTAGCTTGAAGTGGATGGATTGTCCAGGTACCTCTCTGTAGTGGAACAATGATTAAAAAGGAGAGAAAGGGCATGGGCATGGGAGCACTGATTGAATAAGGGAGAAATGTGACTTATGGCTATGTTTACTCTTCCAGACAAATCCTGTTTCAATGCGTTCTTTAACTTTGAGGATATGCAAGAGATCACCCAGTACTTTGCTGTCTGTCATGTGGATGCCCCAGGCCAGCAGGAAGGTGCAGCCCCTTTCCCAACAGGGTAAGGCCACAAAGCAAGATCTTCTGGGAGACACGCACTCAGGAGAGCAAATGACTGAAGTCCACTGGGAGACGTAGCACTGACGCCCTTCTCACTTGATTTTATCACAGCCTACAGGTTATGCTTATTAGCCAGTCATCCTCATTCTCTCTCCTTAGTCCGAGAGCACTGTAATGCACCATCTGTTGGGAAAGACTGTATATTTTCCCATATAGAGAAATGACTTTCTGTAGAAGAGACCTACGTCCCTGTAATCACAAGGCATAAGTTATCTAGGGCATCCACTTCTCGCTGTCTGTCCCGTTCTTCACCTAAAGTCTGTCATTTTGTGTGTCCCTCCCTGAAACACCTTACTATCTAGAGCCAAACTCAGATCCCACTGAGCTTCCTGGGAGCATTTTCCCACCCACACCTCCCCGTTAGTGACTAGAATTTGAATATTTGTGTAATCATTTATTCTGAGAGGCTGCCCTGTTCAGGTTAAAGTGTGGTTTGATTGGACTTGGAGGCCTCAGCCTCATCCTAACCATGCTTTGCATGGCAGAGCCGCAGTCTCCCTGACTCTTTCTGGACAGAGTGCTTATTGCTTGTAGAAGCAAAGCCCCTAAGTGGAGGAGTCAGAGCAGAGCTGTGGAATGCTTATTAATCCTCTCTGTCTACTCATCTACAGAGCTGCCTTTACCCAGTGACTCCTATGAAATAGACCATTGCAGACAAATAATAGCTAACACTTGTATAGTACTTAACCAATGTTCCAGATGCTGCTTTAAATACATCACATGTATTACCTCATCTAGTCCTCACAACCTCTGCTGGATAGGTTTACTGTTATTTCTGTTTTATAAGTGAAGAAACTAAGATCCAGAGAACTTACATAACCAGTTAGTAGCAGAGCTGGAATCTGAACCCAGGCAATCTGGTTCAGAATCTGTTACTGACTATGTCCAAGCTGTTCAAGGTACATAGATAATTACTGTTTGGAGTGCAAAAGTTGGAAACAAAGAAGCAGCATCGGTAGTTAGAAAATATGGCTTTGGTGATAGAAGTGACACCAGAGATCACATGATAGAATTTTGCAAGACCAATGACTTACTCATTACAAATACCTTTTTCAATGCTATAAACAGTGACTGGACCTTACCAGATGGAATATACAGGAATTGTATTGACTACATCTGTAGAAAAAGATGAGGGAGAAGCTAAATATCAACAGTGAGAACAAGGCCGAGGGCCAGCTGTGGAACAGACCATCAATTGCTCATTTGCAAGTTTAAGTAGAAGCTAAAGAAAATTAAAACCAGTCCATGAGAGTCATAATATAACCTTGAATATATCTCACCTGAATTTAGAGACCATCTAAAGAATAGATTTGATGCATTGAACACTAATGACCGAAGACCAGATGAGTGGTGGGATAACATCAAGCATATCATACATGAAGAAAGGGAAAAGTCATTAAAAAGATGGGAAAGAAAGAAAAGAGCAAAATGATTGTCAGAAAAGACTGAGACTTGCTTTTGAATGTAGAGTAGCTAAAGCAACTAGAAGAAATGATTATGTGAAAGAGCTAAACAGAAGATTTCAAAGGGTGGCTTGAGAAGACAGTGTAAAGCATTATAATGAAATGTGCAAATTCCTGGAGTTAGAAAATCAAAAGGGAAGAACACATTGGGCCTTTTTTCTCAAGCTGAAAGAACTGAAGAAAAAATTCAAGCCTCGAGTTGAAATATCGAAGGATTCTGTGGGCAAAATATTAAACAAGGCAGGAATCATCTAAGGAAGATGGAAAGAATACGCAGAGTCACTGTACCAAAAGGAATTGGTCAGCATTCCACCATTTCAGGAGGTAGCATGTAATCAACAACTGATGGTACTAAAAGAAGTCCAAGCTGCACTGAAGGCATTGGTGACAAACAAGGCTCCAGGAATTGGCATAATACCCATTGAGATGTTTCAACAAACAGATGCAGCACTAGAAATGCTAACTCATCTATGCCAAGAAATTTGAAAGACAGCTACCTGGCCAAACCTAAGGGAAGAGATCCATATTTGTGCCCATTCCAAAGATAGGTGATCCAACAGAATATGGAGATTATCAAATAGTATCATTAATATCACATGCAAGTAAAATTTTTCTGAAAATAATTCAAAAACAGTTGTAGCAGTACATTGACAGGGAACTACCAGAAATTCAAACTAGTTTCAGAAGAGGATGTGGAAAAGAGGATATCATTGCTGGTGTCAGATAGGTCTTAACTGGAAAAAAATACCAAAAAGATGTTTACCTGCTATGCAAAAGCATTAGACTGTGTGGATCATAACAAATTATGGATAACATTGTGAAGAATGGGAATTCCAGCACTTGATTGTGCTCTTGAGGAACCTACATAGACCAAAAGGCAGTTGTTTGAACAGAACAAGGGGATACTGCATGGTTTTAAATGAGGAAAGGTGTGCATCAGGGTTGTATCCTTCCACCATAATTATTCAGTCTGTAAACTGAACAAATAATCCAAGAAGCTAGACTATATGAAGAAGAACACAGCATTAGAATTGGAGAAAGACGCATTAACAACCTGATTCGCAGATGATAGCTTGCTGAAAGTGAAGAAGATTTGAAGCACTTATAGTGATGAAGATCAAAGACTGCAGCCTTGAGTATGGATTACACCTCAACATAAAGAAAACAAAAGTCCTCACAACTGGACCAACACACAACATTACAATAAATGGAGGAAAGATTGAAGTTGTCAAGATTTCATTTTACTTGAATTCACAATCAATGCCCATGCAAGCAGCAGTCAAGACATGAGATGACATATTGCTCTGGGCAAGTCTGCTGCAAAAGACCTCTTTGAAGCGTTAAAGAGTAAAGATACCACGTTGAAGACTAAGGTGCACCTGACCCAAGCCATAGTATGTTCAGTAGGCTCATACGTGTGTGGAGGCTGTACAGCGAATAGGGAAGACCAAAGAAGAATTGATTAATTTGAATTGTGGTATTGGCGAAGAATACTGAATATACCATAGCGTGCCAGAAGAACCAACAAATCTGTCTTGGAAGAGGTACAGCTGGAATGCTGTTTAGAAACAAGAATGACCAGGCTTCATCTCTTGTACTTTGGTCATGTTATCAGAAGTGACCGTTCTCTGGAGAAGGATATCATCCTTGGTAAAGTAGAGGGTCCGCGAAAAAGGGGAGATGGACATAGTGGCTATAACGATTGGCTCAAGCATAGCAAGGATTGTAAGGACAGTGCAGGAATGGGCATTGTTTGTAGGGTTGTTATGCATCTGAACCAGCTCAACGGCACCTAACAATAGCAAACTATTCTGTCTCGCAGTGCATATTAATTAGCCTGTGATCAGTTCATATTCATCAAGGTTTGGATCCAGGTTTTCTTTTCTATTTTGTTCACAAATAGTTCAAAAGCATTTCATCTTTTAAAGTGTTCAGCAGAAGTAGGCTACTTCCCTTTCAGGTATAGAGAAGATCCTGCTTCATATAGGAGGTTGACACAAGACTCCTTCTGTCTCTGATGCAGAAGTCTCTGTGGATGTTCCTCACTTTTCTTGGATTCCTAGTCTGGATCTGCTCCTAGATTTATTTGACCATCTTAGGATGAAATGGTTTATTACATGAGCTGTATTCAAATCCAGCTAATAAAATAACCTTGTTGTCCTGTGTAAAACAGAATCATCACAGGATTTATGACTATGTGCCTAGACCCAGTAAAACTTTGTTTACTTCTTCATTTAGCTGCCTACATATATGCAGCAGACCAAGAGCTGTATTTCCTAAGCTGATTCTTACAGCTGGAAGTTCACTGAACCTAGGCCCTAACTGAAGTGATTGTTAGAGGTTTGGAAAGACCCTAAGAGCAAACCATATTACTTCTTCCTTTTAAGTATCTTCCCCTGGTTCCAGAGACTGCTCTTTAGGATATAGAAACAGGTGGTTCTTTTTCTTTGTAGCATTTTACTAAAGAGTCACACAACATGCCACAGTTGTTTCTAGGCACCGCATCATCTCCTTTGAGCCTTTGGTAGAAGAGAATGCTTTTACCTAAGAACTCTATTTTCTAGCCGTTCTAGTGACTAAGAAATGTACATGCATTCTAATTCAGGATTTGTCCTTCTGGATTTTTCAGGTATCAGTACCCTACAATGGATGAGCTGGCTGAAATGCTGCCTTCTGTTCTTACCCACTTAAGGTAGGTTCATTCACTTAAGGTTCATTCTTACCCACTTAAGGTAGGTTCACGTGGTTTTACTAAGTTTCTACTATGGGTCTGGTCCAGCATATATGACGTTAGTCAACTACCCTCATGGAGTTTGTGTCTTAGTGAGGGAATAGATAGTTAACAAGTAAGCAAACAAATAATCACAACTAAACCAAAAACCAAACCCACTGCCATGGAGTTGGACCCGATTCATACCGACCCCTCCGTGGATTTCCAAGATAGTATCACTGTGGAAGTAGATTGCCCAGCCTTCCTTCCGAGGAGTGGCTAGTAGGTTTGAACCGCCAGCCTTCTGGTTAGCAGTCCAGTGCCTTAGGCATTATGCCACCAGAGCTCACAACTAAAGTGCTATTTAAAAAAAAAAAAAGTCAGTGGGGATATTGTGATAGAGAGTGAGGGCATGAGCTACATAGATAGATAGGCTAGTTAGGGAGTACCACTCAAAGAAGGTTGTCATCTAGGCTTAGACCCAAAAGATAAAAAGGAGATAGCTAGCTAGAGAACCAGCACAGGAAGGTTCCAAGCAAGGAGGAACAATATGTCCAAAGATCTTAGACCAGATGAACAAGAAGGAGAAGGGTATAGAGTGAAGTTAGAAATAGACAAGGACCAGATTACATAGGTCTAGCAAATCAGGTAAGATCTTAGGATTTTATTCTAAATGCAAAGAAAATACATCAAAAAGGTTCTAAGTAGGAGAGTGATACCTAATTTAGTCTTTTGAAATGATCATTCTAGGTTTGTAAATTGTACATCAATAAAGCCATTTTAAATTAAAAAAAAAAAAAAGATTAAATGGTTTGTAAAAGAATAAGGAAACAGGAGGACCAGTTAAAAGTATTTACAGTAGTTCAGGTGAGAGAGAATGATAGCTTACTACTGTATGCTGTTGGAGGGAAGGAGAGAAAAACAAATATTTTGGAAGGCAGGCATATGAGCTGAATGTTTACATTAGGTAGATACATTCCTTGGGAGAATAGAATGGCTGTGTATGCACCGGGAGACAGCTTGGGGCAGGAGTGCATGGAGGGAAGGACACAGGGAAGAGGTAACTATGGGGAGGAAGTGGGAGGGAAGCTGTTGCACTGTGGGAAATTGTAGTCAATGTCATGAGACAAAGTGTATGTAAGCTGCTATATGGAAAGTAAATTTGCCCCATAAACTTTCACCCAAATCACAATTTAAAAACCCACCAGCCACTCCTCGGAAGGAAGATTGGGCAATCTACTTCCATAGTGATACCACCTCGGAAACTCAAGCAGGGGTCGCTGTGAGTCAGGTTTGACTCGATGGCACATGACAACAACAGCAACAACATATATGTGGAGATAAGCTCTACAGGCCCTTTTGATAGATTGGGTATGGAGGTGAGCAGGAGAATAAGTTGCCAAGGATAACTCCCAGGCTTCTGTCATATTTCATTTACTCACTGCCCTCGAGTCAGATCCAACTCATAGCAACCCCTCCTTGAGTTTCCAAAGCAGTATCTCAACAGAAGTAGATTGCCCAATCTTCCTTCTGAGGAGTGGCTGGTGGGTTTGAACTGCCAGCCTTCTGGTTAGCAGTCAACTGCCTTAGGCACTAGCCCACCAGAGCTCCCATTTAACCTTTAAAAATGAGCTCAAAAGAAGATCGTATCCTTATTTTATAGATAAGAAACTAAGGCTCAGAGAGTTAAAGAAACTTGCCCAAATTCTCATATCTAGTTAACAGCAGAGTTAGGATTTGAACCCAGATATTGTGTTCTTTCTACCATACCATATTGACCTGGATGAACTTAACCCTCTCAATGTTGGTATGTCCCATTCACAGTCTGAAAGGCATCATTGGGATTGGAGTTGGAGCTGGAGCTTACATCCTCAGCAGATTTGCAGTAAGTACATGGAGGATTAGTCTTGACAGCCTTGGGACACTGCCTGGTTCACAGCTATTACTGCTGTATGATGCAACCAGGTACTGTTTTGGGACTTGTGTCACTCTTTCTGTAAATTTTGTCAGCTCCAGATATAGGTCTGTATTAAGCCTCACACTGTACTTACAGTACCTGAGAAACCACAAATGAGGGCAGTACATCAGGAATAAAACATAAGGCTTAGAAGATTCTTATGTTAGAATTTTGTGCAATAATTTGCATATACTGTAATGTTAACAAAAAAGTTAACATACAGTTTCACATACAGTTTGTCATAAGCATAGGAAAGAACTGGAAGGATGTATACCAAAATATTAATAGGGATTGATGCCGTGTGATAAGATGTGAGATTGTATTTTTTGCTTTTTTGTAATTTCTCTGTTTATCAAATTTGCAGTGAGCATAGCATTGTAATCAGGAAAAAAAAAATTAAGTAAGCTGGAGAGTTTTGAAGCTTAATAGAATTACTCCTTGTGATTTTGAGTAAGTGTCTGGGAAAAATCAAAATCCCACTTCCCTGACATCAGACTATAAGGATCAATCAAATCAATATCAATCTCAAATCAGTATTTTATTGGTTCTTTTCCCTTCTGTTCTGCCAGCACCTACCCACCTGCAGCACTTCCTCTTCTGACCCTAACGTAGGTCAGATCTCACAAATTATAAGACACAGTCCTCCAGACTGCTAAGTCTGCCCAAGGCTTCAGACGCAGCTTGCTGCAAGTTTGAAGTCCCCATGACACCATCACTTTTGACCTGCTGGCAGGAATTTGGAATTTCCCACTACCCCTTGAGGATACCAGCTCTAACTCAGGAGTTCCCAAGATCTCCCTCACTTGTAATGTGCTGGCTATGAATTTGAGGGTTCCCTCTACCTACCATACCTGCTATAAACTCAGGGATTCCCACTGCCCCTCATTTCTAGCCTGTTGGCTCTTGCTATTCCTTACTTACACGTCTGAGGCATTAAGCATAGTAAAAACTGATTAGCCATAGTGCTTTTTTTTTTTTTTTAAAGAAGAACCCTAGAAGTGCCATTGTCATACTGTTGTTTTTGTCTTGTCTTTCAGCTCAGCCATCCAGAGCTTGTGGAAGGCCTTGTGCTCATTAATGTTGACCCCTGTGCTAAAGGCTGGATTGACTGGGCAGCTTCCAAAGTAAGCACTAAATGAAGGTATCCATCCACTCATCTCTTGCCCCTTCTCAAAATGGCTTATATTTTATTTTTCGTTGAGGTATCTACAATTAAGGTCAAATAGTTTCAAATATGTCATTGATGAGTGTTTACACATGTAATAATCATCCGATCAGTATGTAGAATATTCTCAACTCTCTGCAGGGTTCCTTTGTACCTTTTCTTAATTGGTACATCCCTCCTTCCCGGAAGTAACCATTTTCCTGACTAATGTTACCATAGATTGATTTTATTACATATTTATTATTCTTAATCTTTATATAATTAGAATCATAGATATGTGTTCTTTTGTGTCTGACTTCTTTTGTTCATCATATCTATGAGATTCATCCATGTTGTGTTTAATAGTAGTTCTTTTTAATTGCTGTTTAGTAGTCTATTATATACCTACCCAAGATGGGTTTCCATTATTTGATTATTATGGATAAAGCTGCTGTGAACACTTTTGTGTATCTTACAACAGGCATATACATTTCGTTTCTCTTGGGTCGATACCTAGGATTGAAATTGCTGGGTGATAGGATAACTGTATACTTAGCTTTTGTAGATACTGCCAAATAGTTTTCCAAAATGTTTGACCAGTTTACACAGTCAATAGCAACATAAGGAGCTCTGGTAGCATAATGCCTAAGGCATTTGACTACTAACCAGAAGCCTGGCAGTTCAAACCCCACAGCCACTCCTCAGAAGGAAGGTTGGGCAATCTACTTCCGTAGTGATACCGCCTCGGAAACCCAAGGAGAGGTCATTGTGAGTCGGATCTGACTCCACGGCACAGAACAACAGCAGCATAAGAAAGTTTCATTTGATCTACATCCTCCCCAACATTTGATGTTATATATTTTTTTTAATTTTTGTAAAAGATAGACATTTTTATTTGTATTATCAGTTTATTTTTTTATGGTAACCACTGCCAAAATATCCCTAGTTACTAAAAAAAAAAAAAAAAAACCCAGAGTTTTAAATTGTAGCATCATTTAAATTTTAAGCTATGTTGGTGAGTAAATAATGCTGGATTTTAATTTCCATTTCCCTCAGGGACAATAATGTAGAGTACTTTTTTTTTCTAAAATGTGTTGGTCATTTGAGTATCCTCTTTCGTAAAGAGCCTACACAAGTCTTTGCTCTTTTCCTTTTTTAAAAAAAATTTCAGGTTACTGATCTTTGTCTTACCTCTCTTTAAGAGATCTTAATATATTCTGCATATGAATCCTTTGCTGGAACCTGTGTTGCAAATATCTTTTCCCAGGCTTGTTTGCATTATGAATGCATCACTCTTTCTAGTGAACCCAAACCAGCTTATTTGTGCTCCTGCTCCCAAAGACATGTGGGTTGTTGATATTCATTCTCTGAAAAATGAATAAATTTGACCTCTAAAATCTGTTCAAGGAGATAGGAAGCTAGGGGGTATCCTGCTGTTGTTGTTGTTAGTACCGTCTAGTCGGACCTCACTCATAGCGACCCTCCTTTGGTTTCCGAGGCAGTATCACTACGGAAGTAGATTGCCCCGTCTTCCTTCCGAGGAATGGCTGGTGGCTTTAAAATATAAACAATCCCAGGACCAAACCAGAAAAAAGAGGCAATAAGGAAAAAAGCATTATATCCCATTTGCATTGAACTTGTACTAAAAATGGGAGCTTTGGTGGCGTCGTGCCTAAGACATTTGACTGCTAACCGGAAGGCTGGAGGTTCAAACCCACCAGCCACTCCTC